ACTTCAGCTCCCAGAATTCCCCAGCCAGCCATGTTGGCTGGGGAATTCTGGGAGCTGAAGTCCACACATCTTAAAAGTTGCCAAGGTTGAGAAACACAGCTTTGCAGTATTTCTGTATAGAAGAATCTAAAAAACATTGGATCCACCACATCAAATTCAGTTCAGTGTACCTGGAGGTTACTAAACCTGGTCCAGGGGCCAGATTTTCTCATAAAGTTTCAAAAGAAAGAAGTAACTAGAAAGTAGGTCTGTCAGCTGCTTTTAACTATTCTGCAATAAAATGCAGCAAACCTCAGTCTGCCAAAGGTTGACAAAACAGCGGAGGCTAAAAGAAGCAGATGGTTCACTCTAAAGAAGAATATCACACAAGGCTTATTAATAAGCAAACCAGCATTCTGCTTTGGGGAAAGGGGGCAGAAAGGCCACAGAGCCCAGACAGCAAGGCAAAGTTTCACATGAGTCTTGAAATACAAATCACAGTTGACTCTCATGCTCTACTCCTTCATGAAGCCCAACATATGCTCCATTTTATCTCACCTGCCTTTCAAATCCCTCATGGTTACACCTGTAGTTTCTCCTCCCCATTTATCCTCATAAAAAGTAAGACAGGCTAGGCCAAAAGAGTATGCTTAATTCTCACATTGGATAAGACAAAATGTGCTGTGTTTGATTTTAGCATAATGCAGTATATAAAGCCAGCAATTTTGGCGTACAGTACAATCATGGTTTACAGTTATGATATATAAGTCAAGCTGCTCTGACCAATTCAACAAACCATTCAACTCATCTTAGATAAGCATGACATGTGTAACCAACCAGTGGCTGTTTCAAGATGATAAAATAAGCACCATACTCAACTGAGGAGTTCAACACAGAACTTACCAACTGCGTTGTTTTTGTATAAACCTTTTAATCAGCCTTTCCAACTGGGTCAGACTAAATTCTCATCACGTCCTGCTAGGTCACAAATCTGGATGGCCCCAACCCTGTTGGCCTTCCATAAGGGGTTAAAGACCTGGATGTTCCCCCAGGCATTTAGGCCAGGTGGTTAAGCCAGACCTGACAGTTGGTTTGTCTACTTCTTGTCTTCATTGACTGGAAATGGGATGATTTTTATACCCCTGGCATGTATTATATTGCTCTTGTAGATGTTTACTTTATAAGGTATGTTACTGTTTTCTGCTTTTAACTTTCTATGTACCACCTTGAGTCACTGTTGTGAGATGGGTGGCTATATAAATTGCATAAATAAGTATCTGGAAACTGCCATGTTGGGGACAGCTCCGCTAATCATTTTGGCCAAATAAGCAGCAAATGATCTTGGCCTCCTTAAACTAATATAAAAAGCACAATGTTTATTATTACAAAGAAAGATTTGTTTTCTTTCCCTAACTGGATTTGATTTTTTAGCAACAGCAATGCTAGGGACTGTCCCAAGAGTTAAATCAAGGCAATTAAATTTTAACTCCTGAATTACTAATACCGCTAACAAGATTTTATTTATAAACTGAACAGCTTTTATTATTTGAGGCAATCATTAGGTTAAAAAAGGAACCCATGACCCCAGTTCAGCAAGTTATCACAAACAAGCTGCACTTTTCTGGAAGGTGGAAGGCCAAATCAAAAGGAAAAAGGAGACAAAAAATAGCAACACATTGTGGTTCAACAGGAAATTACCTGCTGTGTTAACAAAAGCTCCTAGAAACAGCACAATAGCTTTTTAAGAAACAACAGGAGCTTAATCCATGTGATTAGTACAAAAAAAATTACATGGTAAAATGCAGGGCAAATTAATAGCTAAGGAAAATTAAACAAGATTGACACAAGAGGCCCTGAGGGTATATGAGAAGAGTTTATTTTTCTCTCCCGTTATGGGGCTATAAAAGACTGATTGTGCACTGCAGACAGAATAAACCAACGTTAATCCAAGGATTGCTAATAAATTAGGCAAATGACCCCTGTCCTGGGCTGGAATGGAAAAATCAAAGGAAATTGAATTTTGAAGCCAGTCAACCAACCATTTAGCACTCCAGTCTCAATATTCCAAAAATCCATTCTGATTTCAGCATTTGCCACACACACCCAGTCATGAGGGTGCTGGATATTCCCTCTTCTCAAACATGTTCTCAGCTCACTTTCTCTGCAAGCCACTTGTTCCTTCTCTTCTCCTGCCTTGCCCTTCAGCTTGCTTCTCCTCTATCCTCACTTAGGCTGAGCACCAAGCAATCCATCCTTCTCTTTAATCTGGAGGCAAGTTATCCATACTGTATGTTCTGCATATGTTGTAGTAAGGTAATATTTAAACATAATCGCACTGAAGTAATACATTTAGATTTGTGAGCATGCCTTATTTACTCACATTTTTTCCCAGCAAGGAGGAGTAAAATGGGATCATGATGTTACCTAGTAAACCCCACTATGTGAAGTTTATTGCTAAATGAGCATCCATTGACTTAAAGAAATGCATATAGCAATCTACGAAGCAATAAAAAGTATGAAGCTGCCCCCAGTTCTTTTCATTTTTCTTCAGCAAAAAGATTTCAAATCCTTAGGCTTGTCTCAAAATTCTGAAATAAATTCCACTTCCTTTCCATATATGCGCCTCACTGTCTGGTCAAAGTATGTTCAGATTATTTTTTAGAAAGCATCTCTGATGCAGAATCAATTATGGAAAATTACAAACAAATGCACAAATTGCGCCATCTATTCCAGCTGAAGAATCTAGGCTTTCTGTGTGGGCATTTCGATTTGTTTCACTGCAGAATGATTTGAGGAGGCAGAAATTGACACTGCTTGTTGTCACTCCAGAATAGCTGGAGAACCTACCTTTCTCAGAAGACTGATCATCTGCGGTTAGCATGAAAAGACAGAGGCAAGATTGTTAAAAGGAGGCCAAGAAAAACATCCCAAGGGATTCTTTGTTCAGTCCCTGATTGCTTAGGTGTAAGGTAAGCATCTCCTATTGTTTAGACAGGGACAACGGTAAGTAGATGTTACCTTCTGCTTACGACTTCTGAGTTGTGCTAAAAGGCCAGGCAACGCTGTGCGTAAACACAGAGACCTAACTGAGAGACAAATTAGGTCTCTAGCACTTCCAGGAGTTTTTGATTTTCTTTTTAAAAAAAGGCAGGTTTTTTTCCCCTCCCTCTTTTGCCCCAGTTTGAAGGGATGAGAGACAAACTCAGAGTTCAGTGAGCAAAACCTGAGTAGATAAAGACTATCCTATCTTTGTAGGGACTTTTTAAACTTCAAAACAGTGCCTCAATCCCTCACTAGCTGTGCAAGAAAATTTGTTATTGCTACCTTCCTTCTTTTTTCCCCCTGTTCTTTATAATGATCAATTGGCCATACATAGTACATGGGCCCTAGACCACTGCATGTTCTGATGATCCTTATAAATACACACAATTACGGGAGCAGGAGGGATCCTTACAAAGCTAGTGCATGTGTGTGGTGTTTTAAAGGAAAACATCCCTACAAAGGTAGGGTGTCCTTCCACCATCCAATTCTTTCACCATGCTTTGAGTATGCCCCTTCTTCATTCAAATCAGGGCAAATTCAAAGGGCAGCAAAAAAAAAAAAAAAATCTGCAGAGCACAACATAGAACTGCTTGGGATTTTCATGGCAAATTTCCTGGGGTGGTAACAGATCTGTCCTTGCCACTTGGCTAGTTTATTAGATTTGTATTCTGCCTTTCCATCGAAATGGCATTAACAGGCTAATTGCAGTAAAATGTAAAGTAAAATACAAAAGAATGATATTATTTGCTCAGGGACTTATATTTTTCAGAAGACTAACGTAGTCACTAATAGTATCAGGCTGTCTTATTTTAATATGTATTTATGTGTATGTGTGTGTGTGTGCGCGCGTGCATGTTGTCTCTTACACAGTACCTAGGTTATATGGTACATGGTGCTTTCTATAATATCAGACACTTAGCTGTGATAAGGGTAGGATCAGTGTGGTAAGCACATAAATGGAGTCAGTTGTGGATCTTACCTAAAACTCCAGGTCTGTTCAGGCTAAAGTGCCTACCCCCGGGCACTCATCTCATAAGAACACCATAATGCAGTCAAAAATGGAATAGCTGCCCATTCCTGCCTGGTGAATCCTCCAGGAAAAAGAGTTGGATTGATAGAGCAGCTCTAAAGCCAGGCTTTCCACTGCAGAACTCTGCCAGGGCACGGGCAGCCATTGAATATGCCTTCCCGACCCCGATTGGCTGCAGGAACAACCAAACCGCACCCCCAATCAGATTGGTTGCAGACAATTCTCTTGCAAGCACTTATAGGCAACAGTGAGTCAAATGAGGAAAACCTCTCAGCAGAGTCTCTCACACTTAAGCTCTGAAAATATTCACACACATGCACCCAAATGTAAATAAACAACAGCTGTTTGCATGCCTGGTACAGATGGTGGGGGAGGAGTATGGTATTTGTTGCCCTTCTTTCCATGGTCTGCTACTCCTCTCTGTACGTTCTAGTTATCTGTGGTCCTCTCATCCCACCCCCTTAGGTATCTTTATTGCCCCTCTTGGCCTTGTGATTGAGGATGGCCATCTTCTTTATTTTTGCTTGTCTTCCTCATTAAAAGTTTTGTTTTCCTTGCAAGGGGAGAGGTTCTTCCTCTCATGGGCCATTTCAGTGGGATTGATCTAACAACTGCAGGGCAGAAGTGAGGGGGGTAGCAATTGTCCCAAACCAACTCTCCCTCTGACAGCTTGCCTTCTGCATGCTGTGGCTGGGATGGAGGAGGGAACGATGCTGAGCACAGATCAGGAAAGTGGGTGTTGCGTGATAAGGGTCCAGAGAAAAGAGACTGCTGACAAGGAAAATGCAAGCAGGGACAGACAGAGTGAGCAAAGTTTGGTTTGTATGCACCTGTTAGCCCTTCAAGGTAGCCCAGACAAGAGGCAAAACAATGAATCTTAGCTCTATCTTTACTGTAAGGTTGCATCAACAGAATCTTGCAAGACTGAAAGTATTTCTCCCCTCCTCTCGCTTTACTCTCCATAAAACTAGGGAGGGTCCCTTCTGAAATGTTTCCCATGCCTCTTCTCCTACTGTGGGCTGAGATACCTTTTACGTGCTGGTTGTCCAGTCTGCAGCTCTTCCTCCCATCTCCCAAGGTCATTCCCACATACCATGACAGCACCAGAACTGGAATCTGCTGGTTGTCTTTATGCTCTTTTTAACCGCTTTCCCTTCCATGCCCACTGCTGCCAGCCTGACCAATGGGAAAGGGGCTGGTGTTCTCCTGAAGCAAGAGATCATGGGATTTTCTGGAGAAAATGTGCAGGATTCTGTATTTCCCAAATTGGAATTCCTTATTGTGACTGTGTGTTGCCAGAACTATTGATAAAGAGATTTGACAGGCTTAATTGCAGACTACTGAATCTGAGATGCAAAAATCCAGAGGACCACAAGATGGCTGAAAAGAGATCAAGAAAACTAACTCTGTTGCTACAGCCATCTACCACTTATCCTGATTTTGCATCCTAGAACTGGCAGCCCTAATTCTCTGATCAATGCTGCTAAAAGGAATATAATGTTTAATTATAATTGAATTACATTTAAAAATCTGCTGCCCAATTATTTTTTTAGACTTTGAAAAGGCTTAATTTACCTAGCTGATTAACATACTAGACAGTGTTAGACCTCCAGAGGTCTTAGTCTACAACTGCCAGTATGGCTCTTGGCTGGGAAAGCTAACTGAAAAACTGTAGGCCTATTTATCACTTTTAATGCCTTATGACCAGTTTGCTTTGCATAGGAGGTGAGGAGCTACAGTTTACAATTAACAGTGCCTATTTCAAAGCCTCTTGTCTCCAATTTGTCTCTCTCTATCCTGGATTGCATGACTAAACAATGATCCGTTAGCTCCACTAAAGGTAACTATCTCTACTAGGCTGCCTATCAGCCTAAAACACTGACTGTTTTCTTCCCCCAGAGATGTCTTGCGTGCATTACTCTCAATCTCTCAATTCTGGGTCTGCTTATTGCCTCTCCATATGACACAGCAATGTTGCAAGGTCCTTGAGGGCTGAGGTTACCTATCCATCAAAGGGATAACTTTATAAATTTACACATGGGGAAACAAATGTGCCTTGAACAAACAAGGAAAAGGTTTGTAGTGACTCACAGAGTGGCTTTGTGACACTTCTGGAATTGTGCAATGCACCGATGGTCCTTCTGTACATTAAGCGCCTAGATGGATAAACAAGAGTTACAATTCAGAGATAGGGGAGGATGCAAGGAGAAACTAAGAACTTTCAAACAAAACAAAAAAATAGCTTGGATCCAGACTAAGTTGGAATCCATAGGCTTAAGAGCTCAATTATTAGATTGGCCTAGTTCATCCATAAAGCTATGTCAGGATTTTTAAACCATGGATTACTGAACAAACCATAGTGGTCTGGTCTGCACACAATGCTAGGCCATAACGGGTAGATTCACATATCATGCTAACTTAAGAATAAAGAAAGTAGATTATGAGTTAAGATAATTCATGCTATTACTTTCATCTCCCGTTAAAAAAATAAGTACTTATTTTGTGGAGGAAGCACCCAATCCAAATTGTGTTCCGGAGCTTAACTACATTGGACCCCAAACATACTGGCTGTTATTTACTCTGCAGCAGCTATTTGCTGCAAGCAAATAGCAAAAAGCAAAGAGAAGGAAGTTGAAAACAGACACAGGACTCAATCCAAATGAGGAGCACATGCTGCTTCCCCCCTCCATTCACAACAAGCTTGGCAGTTCAAGCATGTTTTTTAGAAAAGTAACACATAATTTGACTCTGACCTCCCACTGATTTTAACTGCAACTAAGTTCAGGTAACTTAATGGAGCTCCAAACGAATGTTATCTTTCTGTGGATAGGTGAAAAAGAAAGAAGCCTGAATTATACAGATGTGCGCTTTCCTGAAAAGGAAGCCCACAGTGTTCTTTCTTGAGAAGCAATTTGGAGTAACTAAGGGCACATTTTTCCTTACAGATTTCATGACTTTTCCTGTATGGGAAAAAGTAGGCAGTCAAAGCTGCATCAAGACATTAAATGCCATCAGCCCTAAGGGAACTGGTTTGGCATTTATGGTTGGGCACATATGGCTGTTGAAATCCTCCACCACACTTTGGGGCAGAGATGTTCTCCAACCATTTCCCAGGGATAGGATTTCTCCTTAACAATCACCATAGCACCCTTACTAAAACTGCCCAGGAGGAATTCTTCCCTGGGGTTTTAACTGAAGTGTTGGAAACCAAGAAGGCAGCAGACTACTCGACAGTAGGGCTATGTAATATTTCACAAATTATTTGGAAAAGTTCCTTCAGAGCATGCAGAACCATAAATGTAGCACCTACCAGCAATTTTTTAAAGCACGAAAAGCTACATTTATTGAACCAAGTGCATTCAACTCTTTTTAAATAGATTGCAGGCAAGGCAGAGTTCCACCCATTCAATTTTTTCAAGGGGCTGTACAGTACTTGATTCTTCAGCCATTTGCTGTGGCAGAGAAGGAGTCTTCTGCTCTGCACAGTGTTCAGTATTCAAAGGATCTTTTCCAAATTATTTATGAAGCATTGCACAAACCTACCAGATGGAGAGGACTGTACCTGAAAGGACTGTAGGGGACATTCACACCTGCCTTTTGGTTACCTTGTAACTAAATAAATGCAAGAAGACCACACCCCACTCATGCAAATTTATTTGAAACACTCTTCTCTGAATTTCTAACACAAATTATTTCTTATCAAACTGAATATGAACTATTGAGGAGAATTTCTATACTTGACACTAGTTTAACCCTCCAGTCAGTTTTCAGATACAGTTTGTTGGACTTGCGAACAAAACAGACTTAAACAGCCTCTTGGAACAGTAGGGGACTGTCTGTATTATTTCAAGGACATTCTACTAGTTTGTAATTGGTTCAGCTCCACTTAGAGCTGTCCATGGTGCTGCTTTGTTGCTTCAACACTCAACCCACCTTCACAGTCTGCCCTGGAACGAAGACATAAGCAAGTCTGGAGTGGTAGATATGAGATTCAAGCTGGACAGATCTGAGTTATATACTCATCCTGCACTTCATTGTTCAACGAGTCTGAGTGTGAGTTAAGGTGCAGTTGGGTATTCTCAATGCCTCATACAAAAGGAGGAGGGGAAGGAACCACTGTTTCCTTCCTTTCTCCCTTCTTTTGCTAAACCTGTGTATGTGAATGCCTATAAAAAGGACAAAGATTTTAAAGATGTCTGCAGCATGGCAATATTCTTTGCTACTGCTCTTGCAAGTTTTATTACTACTAAGTTGCTACAGGCAGAGGAAGGAGGAGCCATTCAAAGATGAACATTCAAAGGAAATGCTGTGATTAAAGATGGAAGTCAGCCAGTTGGCAATACACAGAACATTCATTTCTATTACGATTGATTTGTTCCCTCCTTAATAATGAAAATCAATTTTTAAGAAAAGAAAAATTCCAAGTGGCAAGTTGCATCTTGCTTTTCAGAGGAGATGAAATTGCTTGCTAGTCCAGGTGCAGTTGCAGAAACTTAAGATGGAAGGAAAGTTGATCACGCTGACAGAAGTGTTAAAATTGCCATTTGAAGGCTTTTTGCAAACTACAGCCAGCTCAAAAAACTGCAGCTATACTTGTGCTAAATGAAGCTAATTTAGAATGCATATTATTTATCCTTCAAGCACTTTCAGGGGTACAGTTCACAATACTGGTCATTCTCTATAGCAGTGTTGTCCAAACTTGGCCACTTTAAGATGAGTGGACTTCAATTCCCAGAATTCCCCAGCCAGCCATGCTTTGTTGAAGTCCACTCATCTTAAAGTGGCCAAGTTTGGACAACACTGCCCTATAGAATCCAGCTTAGGAGCAGGATACCTAAAAAACCACTTTTTCCTACACTAAGCTTCCTAAGTTTTGTTGTTGTTGTTGTTGTTCAGTCGTTAAGTCGTGTCCGACTCTTCGTGACCCCATGA